TTATAAGATAAAATCCATAGGAATATTTCTATTTCCATCTCCAGCTCTGTCTCTTCTGGATATTTATCCGATAGGTTGACATCTACCATCAGAATATCACGGAGAACGTTTCCCTCGTTATCTAGAGAAAAAATAACCCCTTTTTTAAGAGATCCGTGGTTTCAGAATTAAGAGGGATTGAAGATAATCCGACTCGGGTCTTAAATATGGATCCCCTAATGGTCCCGTAGATCCGTTCCTTATTTTTCTTGTTGGCCGATTTCACTCGGTTCAAGTCTCAGCGTACATTTCACTCCAGGCGCTATTTCTCAAGGCCCTAGAAGCACGTACACTGCCGCCTCACTGAGCAAAGCGCCTAAAGTCTGATTCCCATGCTTGCAGATATGAGGATTTCCCTTCACGGGTCGTTTCCTTAATTAAACCCATGTTATCTGAGCAAACTGTGGACGCCTATCTCTGGTCGCATGCCGCATCTAAAGTGGATTTCTAGTACATTTTGGTCATACCGCCGAATTTCTGTGACGGTTTGCTTATCCATCTGCCCAGACTCCTTGACTGCCAGGACCCCAAAATTGTACTGGTTTATTCGAAACGTACATCACTCACTGAAAACGTCTTCGCTTGTTTGCCTAAAACCCCCGCCCGCCACTTTCCTCATCGCGATCCATTTTCCTCCGGTTAGCGACAGCTCATAGATCCAGGTTCCTGAACAGTCCAATTTGTCTACCATTTCAAATTGCGTTGGTAGACTTGTGAAAAGTGTTGATTTTTTCTTCATGACCACCTGAATAATCCATTTACTCAATATTGGCCGTATTTTTTGAGTTAAATTGCAGGAAGGTTGGCATATTCACTTGTGTAAATCCTTCATCGTCCTTTCTGTCCTTTCATAGTCCCCGTTCTGTGATCGGCTTTTCACGACCCGTTTGTTTCTTTGTACTACTTCACTTGGGTAGCCATTGCCGAGGAATATCCTCGTCCCAGAATTCTATATCCGTTAAGCGTAGGATTTGAATGATCATGCTCCTCATTATTCCAATCTTCAGCCTGTAATCATGATAGGACCGAAAATTGAGTATAATCCCAGCATAGGACTTCTTTCTGAACAAATTCTTTTTGAGCGTTCTATTAGAACGAATAACTTCAACGTCCAGGAACGGTAACCGCTCACCTTTCTCTATTTCCATTGTGAATTGAATTTTTCTATCAATCTGCTTTACAAACTTCAGAAACTCTTCCAGTTTTTCCCTTCCATATGACCAAAGTGCGAAGTAATCATCAAAGTACCGCATGAGCACTGCCGGTTGTAGCGGTACCATCTTAAAGCTCTCTTCTATTTTTTTCATGTATACGTTTGCCAAAAGTGATGATAGCGTCGATCCCATGGGAAGTCTAAATATTTGCTCATAGATGCTCTCGTTGAATGTAAAATATGTTGTCCTTATTGTTCATTCGTCAATTTCCCCATTCCTATGCATATCTTTCAGCATGGCTCTTAAGATTCCATTGATCCTTGTTTAGTATACGATATTTGTTCCTGTCTCGTAAAATTCGTTCCATCTTTTCTTTATATTGTTATTTTGTCCATTATCACTGTAGCTCCTTGTTTATCCGCCTGAAGGACCAATTGTTTATTCGTTTGCAGGATTTTGCGTATCCTGGCAAATCTGTTCCTGTGTGTTGGATCTTGATGTATCAGGATCTTTGGAATTAGTTTCATTTCCATTTCCCATTTTTTCGCCTCAGGAAACTTGTCGGAGATATTGATAACCTCCACCAGGATTTCTCCTAAAATGTTTATGTAATTTTGAATTAAAAAATTGACTACTTTTCTCATGAACGCGGTTGTTTCGGGATTGAGAGGAAATGATGATAGGTTTAATACTTTAGTCCGATCGTCGTGCTGATCCGTAGCTATTGTCACCTCAAAAGCCACTTCAACTGGAATCACTAACTTTAACTTAGATTGTCTTATAATCTAAAACTTACGCAATTTATCATCATGTCGTTCTGTTATTAAGTCAAAAATCCTACGTGATTTCCTGTCGGGTCATGCTCTGGAGTTTTTGAAAATCTTCCAGAGACAGGATCCTGGCCAGATCACGCCGTAGCTTTGACTTAATATCCATACACTTAAACAACTTATTGCGTTCTGTATCATAGGTCTCACTTAGTTTATGAATACAAATCTGGTGAAGATACTCATTAACCTTATCCGAGTGGTAGGGTCTCTTAAGGTCAAAGAACCTAGGAGTGATATCATAACGTTTACAACAGTTTACAAAAGTCAGATGGGAAGATTGACTTAAAATTGTCTTCTTTGTCCGGCTGTATTCGGTGCGTTTTCTGACAATTTCACTACCATAGTTTAATCGAAGATATGAAGACCAAGATGATGTGGCCCCGGCTATGGTCGCAGTCTCATTTCGATTTATATTAGTAGGTTGACCGCGTTGTCTCAACTTGGTTTTGTTGTCAGGGCGACTTAGTAGAACACACCTAGTCCGACATCCTCTGCTATAGTAATCATAATTTCCAGCATCAGACAGTGGGTTTGGTACATTCTTAAACATTGATTTTAAAGCTTTAAGAAATAGTGCATGGAGTGAAACGAACACTGGGACTGGAACCGAGTGAAATCGGTCAACCAGAAAGATAGGTAACGGATCTACGGGACCATGAGGGGGATCCGGATTGGAGGCCAGAGTCGGATTAGCCGATCGAAAGAGAGAGGATCGGGGTGAATAGCAGGTATGATGAGGCCACACTAGATTTGCCACAGAAGCGTACACACTTTGACGAGTGAGAATATGTGATAGGGCGGGTGTTTGGCAAGAGGGTAAAGAGTCGATGTATAGGCCAGGACAGAAAGAGGAATGATAGTATAACCATTTTAGGCAGAATGTTGGTGGAAGGATCAATTTCACTTGTCTTTTTGACTATTTCTAGCTTGATGCGGAGAATGACAGCACTCACTGATGTTGCTGACTACGATGGCGGCGAAACGTTTGAGAATGTACCAAGTCCACTGTCTGATGCTGGTAATCATGACAACTACTATGGCAGA